TCTTGTAGTATATCGTGTAAAATGTTTATTTTGAAATCTATTGCTTTCTTTTATTTTGGAACGTTCACATTTTTTTTAATAAAACCAAAACATTTTTCCAAAAATTGTCTCTCCTAAAATTATACCACCTTCAATTTAAATAAGATTCCTATGGCTGGGATTGAATCAAGTGAGCAAATGAATGTCATCGATGACATGAGTAGATTCAACTCATTTGTGACGATAAGGTTGTAATTTTATGAATGGTTTCAATCAATCAATCAATCAATCAAATTTGTTCATCTGAAGACCACAAGTGGTATAAGACATGTCAAAAATTTGGAGTACAGACACTAAAAAATATTTAAAAAAATTCTGAAGTACAGAATGCACCCTCAATTAGTACTTTTTGCAGTGATTTCTTGAATCTGAAATATATAGGTTCATATGTGATGTTTTGGGAAATTTTATTAAAAATTCTAATTCCTATGCTCAGAGGACCGTCTTGCGCTAAGATCAATCTGTTTAGACGAGTATTTGGCAAATGCTGCTTCCTGGTAGAACGACCGTGAATGTCATTACGACAGACAAAGTATTTCTACGTTTGTAAATTTAACAAGCAGTTTCTGATGAAAAGAGAAATGAAGGGTAATACTTGTGGCTTTCTAAAGAGAGGTCTACTAGATTCTTCTGGGGTTTGCATAACATGGCACAAATGCACTTTTTCTGTATAATGAATAGACGTTTGGCAGAAAGTGATTGTCTCCAGACTATGATTCCGTATGCCACTGATTGTGCTTTATGTTGTAATGATTTCCAGATTGGTGCTGCAGAGGCAATAAGACAATTATCTTATTCAGAAACATCAGATGCCCAACATTGAGGATGACAGTGTTCCATGTGAGTGAAATCATTTGTGATATTGTGCATCAATCTTGTGAATAATATCTGATTCAATTCCATAACGATTGCTTGGAGTATAAACTGAATAGGAGACAGTGTTTTTTGTGTCAGTCAATGTTCATATAAAAGTATGTAGTTGTTTTGAAAGTATTTTTTCTATCGTGTAATTCAATGTTTATATGAAATTAGTTGTTTCAAGAGAGCTTCTTTAGTCATTTATTTATTTATTTACGAGCAAGCCCATTTAAAGTATAAACCACAATGTTAAATTATAATTAAAATAAAATCAAATAAGATACTGAGTTACAAATTCCAACTAAGAATAGCTTAAAAGGGGTAAATTGGAAGTTGAAAAAGTTGTTAATTTTGGAATATAAAGCTACAAAAAACAATGAGTAACAATAAAACATATAACTACCATAAACTATGCACTAAAACATCAATAGAGTTTTAAAATAATGCAACGAGATGGTAAACATATCAAGGTTAACGTTACTATTAGCTTATCAAAAGATTCTTGGAATGCAGCATTTGAGTGTGTGGTACGTAAAATGTTTGTTGCTGTCTAGTTGAGCGGTTTTGAACATGTAGATACATTTTTTCCAAGAGTTCAGCACAAATAAATTTGCCGTTAATAATATTGAAAGATAGTGTCAGAACTCTCTGTTTCCTCCTAGTTTCCAGGGAGGACATACTCAGAGATTGCAGTAGCAACTATACTCACAACAAACACCCGATTTATATGCTATGTATCTGAGGAAGTGTTGTTGGACATTTTTGATGTTCTTAATGTTTCACAATGAGGGGACCAGACAGAAGAACAATACTCCAAGTGTGGATGGACCAGTGAACAATAAAGGGCTTTAATAACAGTTGGGTCAGTTAATTCGTGGGTTAGCCGTTTGATAAACCATATCATTTTCATGGCTTCATGGATAGCCGTGGGTATATGTACATTGAAGCTCAAGGTGAGATCAAGAACAACCCCAAGGTCTTTTATTTAATCAACAGACTACAAGACATGACCATTTAAAGTATATCAATAGTGGCGCATGACATGGCACTTTGTGGCATTCAAGTCCATGCCATTTAAGGAGCACCAGTTTGATAGATTGTCAAGGTCAGACTGAAGCCTATGGGCATCCAAAGAGGTTTCAATAATTAGGAGAAGTTTTAAATCATCTGCAAATAATAGTGCTTTGGCGTGCCGAAAGCAATGAATAATGTCGTTAATAAATAAATTGAACAATAAGAGACCGAAGTGTGACCCCTGAGGAACACCAGAGGTTACTTTGAATAACGTGGAGTAGTGATAATTTGCTCTAACCATTTGTGTCCTATTCGTAAGATAACTACTAATCCATTCCAGTAGTACCTAATCTACACCATATCTATTGAGCTTTTAGAGTAAGAGTTTGTGTCAGAAAGTTACTTCTTCACATGATCTATACATCTTTGTTGAGATTTTATATGTTTCATGCCTAGTCTGATAAAATTCTGTATCTGCTTTGTATTTGGGGCATTTTTCACTATTTTACCACCAATCCAATCATTATGAGATGTCCCATTTTCGTATATATTGTCATCAATTGTTTACAAATGTATATAGATTTGTAATCACAAGAATTATTTTATTCACGAATTAAATGTGGAGGAAAACATAAAGACAAAGGATGATTTCAACTCACCTTGTATATCCGTCCCTTGGCAACAAACAGCTCAATCAACGTAGGAGTGTGTTCGATAGCAGCATCGATATAACTCAAAGCTTTCTCAGTCTGATTCAGGTAGTCATAATGTTGCGCTAAATAATAATACACCCACAGTAATGCACTTGCTGGTTCCTTTGGTCCATTCTTTACCTCCGTCTCGCTATATTTACCTACTTTCTTTAAAGCTTCAACATATTGCAGCAGTAAATTCTCTATCAGTTCCACTTTGCTTTGGTCCGCGTAAGTACTCCTGATGTCGACAAACAGTGGAGGGACCCCTTTCGAGAGGGCTTTCCTCATGTATTTATCAGCTAGGAGTTTGAACTGCTCTCCGGTCGCATAGTTCAGTGGCAGTCTTCTAGGTGGCATAGCACGTGGAAACTTTTCCGTGTACTTTGCGTAAAAATCAACAATTTCTTCTGGTTTAGTCAACTGTTTCGCTTCTATCAGTTTCTTGTAGTATATCGTGTTTTCTGGGTTTCTTTGGATGAGCTGTTCGTAATATTCAGCAGCTTTGTCATGCTGCTTCAGGCTTAAATGCAATTCGCCAAACTTTTCTTTCAAAGTTAGTTTATCGACGATTTGATCCTGTGAATCTTCTAGATGTTGTAGGGCTTCTTTTAGGTCGCCGGATTCTTGGATCACGAGGTTCTGGTAAAGGATGAGTTCACTGTGTTCATAGTCAAAATTGCCTCCCTTCTGAAATCCAAACGTCAAAGTCACATTTTGAAATATTTTTCAGAAAAATGTTATATACCTGCTGCTCCAAAAAGGTCTCCAATATGCTAAGAGCATTTTTGTATTCCTCCAACAGATGGAAAGACATTGCATAACCAATCCAGGAAGCTCTTTGTATTGGCCGTAACATAAGTAGTTGATATCGAGTATCCTAAAATGAAAATAATAAGATAAAATAATGAAAACAAAATATTAGGTCCCCCAACAACAGGTCACAGCATTAACAAACCCCTAAAAAACTATTATTCAGTAGGTATTTTCTGTATCAAAGTTTCTCAACATTTTTTCGGTTTTTGAATTTGTGGTGTTTGCATAAAATTCATTTATATTCACGGGTCCATCTCTTTATTTACAAATCAACCAGAACTATATATGTAAATCACAGGAAAAAAAATGGTTTTATTAATATACATTCTGCAACTCATCAGAAAATGAGTAATGAAAACATAATCCACACAATAATGCAAAAACTTGTTACAGTGGAGAGTGGCCAATTGGGTATCTTCTCAACTATAAAAGTTACAAGAATAAACTGAATAGAGTACAAGTTCTCTATTTGGGAGCATTATCTATTTGTGAAAAAAGTTGAAACAGCAGAAGTAGAAAAAGGGTGAAAATTTTATATTATTGTATGAATATAATGGACAAAAAAATGTTTGCTTTTGCCTATTTTTGTTTGTCCTAGTGAAGTCGAGAATGTACACATATCCTCCAAATTTATTGCATGACTTTTGCATTAATTACTATTTAAGTTAGATGCCTGATTCTGAGTTAAATTATTCATAAGTTGAAACTCTAAACTTGATCAACTCGTAGTAGCTAGCCACATATTTGAAGCATCTACAAAATCATGATACTGTCATTCTAAATCATTCTAATATTTTGTTAAAACACTCCAAGGCTATGCATCTCTACCTTATTTTGAAAAGACTAGACAGTGACTCATTGATTAGGCCCAACACAATTAATTATGTATGAATTTATTATCATGTGATTTTTCAAATGAGAATACTGGAAACCATTTTTTCTCAAAAAAACACAAAACTAAAACACCGCTAGACATAAAATCTTTCATAGTTCACAAAATGTACTGTGGAAATTTCCAAATGATATGTTGGCCAAACCGGAGACTATTACTCAATACGTGAGTTTCAGAACACATGAGAGAAACTAAAAAATTAAATATCAAGAATCTCACAGCCCTTGCTGAACATGAAAGAGCATGGACACATTTTTCATTTCGAATATCCGACAATTCTAGATATTCAACCATGTTTATCTATAAGACCTTTGTGCGAAATGATTAATATCCTCAAACACGATAGTATCAACACTAGAAGGGATGTTGATGGCCTCAACACTGCTAATTTCAATTCAATCAGTAAAATACCAAAAATATTCTTTTTTCTATTCAAATTCTTTCTTACATTAACGGAAACAGGTAACACCTTATCAAAATTGACAGGTTTGTTTCATGTCATTGCTGGTCTCAAATATTTTGTTAGATAGTAATTTTTATTTTCTTATATACATATATCTAAGATGTCTGATGATTTTAAAATTTAGTTATAGTATGAATATGGAAAAAACTCCGAGTCAGTTTATTATAATTTCATTATTACTTCTTACATTAGAAATGACAACATTTATGAAGTTTCTGGCATGTACACTTTATAAAATTCATTGTTACAGAGCCCTAAAAAAAAAGTAAATTGAATTCAAAAAATGGACAAGAAAACAATGGTTTTTCTGAGATGATTTGAGTCTGTTGTTGATTCTGATTGATAGGTTTTTGTTTTATAGTTCTGGTAGAGTTTATAAACTTTTTTGAAGACATATAAGGCAATATACATCTTTCAGAAACAACATGACCAGGATTAGGGCACAAGAAGGCATTCAGTGTTGTCCGAAATATTAATAATAATAATTTAAACAATGGAAGCTGCCAAAACTAAGGTGGTGAAAAAGAAAACAAAAATGGCAGCACACCTGGAAGAAAATTTTCTGGGAAACGTTGATAATTTTGCCAACAAGACAATTTTGTATGTTTTTTTAAAGTTGTATTTGTTAGCTGCATTCTGATTTCATTTATCTGGAATAATGCTGAAAATATAAGTTAGATAGCAATGATGTGTATTTTACCTACACGTTACACCTCATAACCTCAATCTATGTTCTTCAAAAACGTACAATTTGATAAATTTTTAAATATATCATAAAAGAATATCTCACTATGAGTGTTTCAAAGGGAAATAATTATCTGCCTTCTCTATTCATATTCGAAACTATGTGCCTAGTAGATAAATATAATATAAATGAAAAGAAGAACCATTATTGAAAGATTCAACTGGTTGAATAAGAGGTTTCTGTGAAGGAAGCAAGGGTTTCAAAGAGGCTACATATTCTCACCGAAAGTTTTTCATTGGAGAGGTAATTTAACTGATAAGAATTGCCGAGTCATCCAGTCGAAGAAACAATGTTTGTTTCAAGACTTTGCTAGAATTTCTCTACGCTAGTCAAAAACTCTTCCTCTTTATACAAAATGTTATCTTACTCACCCTGTATCCCTCCAAATCCCGCATTTGAATTTGCAAGAGTGACAAATCTCGCAAGATCTGAATATTATCCTTCTCCCACTTGAGAGCATTTCTATAACATTTGATTGCCTCGTCATACTTTTTGTCAGATCTTTGTAGAAGTCCGTAAACATGCCAACAAACATGGGAACGCAAGTCATTTCTTAAACCTCTACGAACGTATTCGTAGGCTTCTTCTTTTCGTCCTAAGCAGTTCAGAGTAAGTCCTTTCATAGCAAGAGTTTCTGAAAACAAATTTGTATCAAGGGTTTGATCTAGAGGTATTTTGGTGAACTAACCTCCATGTTCTGTGTATTTAGGATTGGACAGAATTTGCTTTGCGAATTTCAGCCCATTTTTGTATTGCTTTTGTTCATAACACCTCTGAAAAAGAAGGAAAAGTGATTCTCAATAACAAATCTAAAACTATATTTACAAAAAATTACTTAATATGAGTATATAAATAGAACGTTTCAATATCTGCAAATAATCATGAATAGAAATAACATTCCAACTATATCCATAAACATCAATCATCCAAAACAAAGATCACTTCCAAACATAGATAAAAACCCTAACAAAGTCCTACAACAGGAAAATAATGCTATATTTTGTAAATCATTTGACTTTACTGACACAAGTACTAACCAAAATTCTCTTAAATAAGGCATTTTCTTTTGGTGGTAATGGATTACTAGAGGGCATTTCTGTATTTTCACTAAAACTGTAGACGTTTCAACCGGTGAAATTAAATATACAATTTTTTGAGGACGATAAAACCTCGTGGCCACAAACCTCTCCAATGTCGATCGCTGTCACGTGACCAATAACATACAGACAGTTGACATAGACGTTTGCCGGTATTACAGATTACCAACTGCTACCAACGCTGGCGTATCGTTCAAATCCATAAGGGGATGGCAACGAAAAAAATGGGCCTTGTCTTGATAATGCCTATATATATTAGATTTAGAAGATACACAATTTTTGTATTCATTTTATTCGACGAGTTCAATTGGCTTACTATGGAACACACTCGAAAACTTCGTAAGTCTCTATTTATTCACAAAGTATTATTATAACGTTGATAGAAATAAAGATAAGTTGCTTTCCAGATCTGAAACGCATGGTGTTGATATCAGATACGAAAATTATTTCATCATGCCATATTGCACGGCAGTTATGTTTCATGTCAAAAGAATAATTTTATATTCAAGAAATATATGAGGGTATTATATCAGTTTGCTAGCGTGAATATCTGTCATTAGTTTGCATCTTACTACTCTACACCCTCTCAATTTGTTATTATGTTTTCTAGTTTATTTTCCTAACTGTCGGCTTTGTTGTACTTACTTTTATTAATGGCTGATCATTAGAAGGTTATATGGCCTTCTATTGAAGGCCATATTTAGCCAATAAATTTTTCTTCAATGAAGACGATTATTATTATTATCATAACTATTAACTGAAAAAATGAATGGGTGATTATAGAATGGGACGATGACACGAGTGTTTTATTTGAGATCATGAGGTGAGTACAGTTTTGGGTTTCCTGAGGATATATGCACATTTTGTTGTGAAAAGGGATCTCAGTTCCTCATTTTAAGATGTTTGCCTTTCTTATTTTTGAATTGTTGCGCCACTGCTTGAAATTCGACTGGCTTATACCTACTTCGAGTGAGTCTGTACGACTCACTCGAATTTTAGAATGATGACTTTCGAATATTTCAATATGAATTGTCTGGTAGTTTACATAAAATCAAATATCTAACTAGAAATGCAGGGTTCATATATACGAACCTTGCCCGAAATGTTCCACTTTGGGATTGCAGTGACATCTTCCAATTATTAACGAAATAACAGACGTACGCCTGAAAACATTTCTGTTACATGAAGTGACGTACTGCAAAGTAGTTAGTATAACTACTCCATGCTAGATGTCACTAGATAAACTAAAATTCCATATTGGAGGAGTAAGCGGCATCTAGGATTTATAATTCGAACGTCGAACTCTAGGAAAGCATTGTTTATTGTTATAAGAAATTGTAAACACAAACATTCAGATACACTGAATAGTCTTCTGTGAGCCAGTATAATAATTATTCCAGAAAATACATACTTTCCTAGAAGGTTTGAAAATAGCAGAAGCATGGAAAATTTAAGTTATTGTAGTGAACGCTTCAGGTAAGATTTTTATTCGTAACTGGGCATTATTTATTTTGTTATATCAAACTATAATAGATTGCTGTACATAATGGAAGAAGATAAGAACCTCTCATTGGCTTCAAGATTTGCTGACTGGGTACCTGGAATGCAAGAAAGTTTTAGACTTTTAGTGAAATCTACCGAATTGGCACATTCCAAGGTAATAATATATAGTGCATTTCTTTAACGCCCACCACCTTTTTATTTTTTGAACGGGCCAACTCAAAAAATTGAAATTTGGTATAATGAAATTAATGCATGAATACTTGATTTTGAAGTGAAATTGACAGATTGAACTTTCAAGATGGCGACTGGGCGCCATCTGCAAAAAAAATTGAATAGAAAGGGGGGTCTTGTGACACATCTCTTTGAAGCTCCTGACAAATGCTTCACAACCCTAGAATATAATGTCAATATCTTCAACTACTACAAAATGGCGGAACTTTTAATAATAGCCTGAATACATTGACATTTAACTACATAATATGAGGTAATAAGCTTCAGGTTAGTTCAGAAGATGCTCGAAATGCTTGCCTTGAACTTCTTGACATATGAACAGCCTATCCGATATTTCACGCCGACCATTTTCGAACACAGTAACATCAATATCTCTACAAATATTTATTATTCTCTGCCATATATCCAATATTGAAGCAGGTTCTGTTTCGTACACCTTTTGCTTCACAGAAGTTCGAGAAAATGTGAATGACGACTCTCGCCCTGGACGCCCCACCATATCAACAACTGATGAAAATGTTCAGAAAGTGAAGGAAATTGTTATGGAGAATCGTCGAATCCCTGTTAGAGAAGTTGTCGAGGATGTCGGCATATCGGTTGGCTTATGCCGTGCAATTTTTTAAAAAATTTTGGGTATGAAACGTGTGGCAGCGAAGTTAGTTGCAAAATTGCTGAATTTTGAACAAAAAAAAAGAGAGGGAAGAGGGGATAGGTGAAAGCACTTGAATGACCTATAAATAGTCAACATACCCTGAAGTTGCTGGATTCCATCCAGAAAAGAGCTATCCGCCTGATTGGAGGCGCGAACATCACTTGCAACCTTGATAGTCTGGAACATCGAAGAAACGTTGGATATTTGTCTTTCTTCTATAGATACTTTCACGGGAAGTGTTCAAGTGGCTTGGCACATTTGATTCACCAGCGATTTAAACACCAGCGATTCACCAGCGATTTACTTTCGCACAAGCACCGCTCTCAGAGCGCTTTGAGGTTTTTTATAGTGCTTGTGTTCTGTCCTAATGAAAATAACCATGACCTAGTGCATCAGGCGTTCTTGCCACATGGTCGAACTATCATAAAGAATTATTAACTTGAAGTGATGAGCTGCTTGCAAGAAGCAATATACAAAGAAAACGTCCGGTATTGTGAGAAAACATTTCATGGCTTTTGCATCACAACAATGCACCTACTCAGTCGTCATTGTTTGTTCGTAATTTTTTGGCCAAAACAGCACCGTTTTCATGCCTCAGCCACAGAATTCACCAGATTTGTTCCCTCACGTCTTTTTCCAGTTCCCAAGATTGAAATGATCCGTAAAAGAACGGCGTTTTGTGACTATTGAGGAGATAAAAACCGAACCGCTGATAAAGCTCAAGAATATACCAAAAAGTTCATATCAGGATTGTAAAAAAAGCTGGCTGGTAATATATAAAAACATATTGATGAAAATGGATTTGATATATATTTACAAAACGATAGTGCCCATATACATATAAACATATATACATACATATATGAGCACATATGAATTACAGAATTGTAGGTGGACAATATAGCAAAGGTACGTATGGTTTTTTCCATCTACTCAAATAGACGTAGAAGTTCAAGTATCTGACTTTGAAGAATATGCTCTTTCAACTTTTTTTTGATGCGATTGATATTTGAGATAGATTTTATATTTTCAGGAATTTGGTTGTAGAGTTTAGGCGCAAAGTAAGTAATTGATCTTTGTGTAATGACCTTGACCATTAGGGGTGTAGTATACTGATCTCTTTGGCGGCTGTGATACTGATGTGAAGGAAGTGATGCCGTATATCTATTTGTATGATATTTAGTGCTGGAGCATAAAAAAATACAACTGTCTTATGTTTAACAGACGAGTTTCGATGTATAATTTATCAGAGGGATACCTACCATTTTTAGAGAATATTAATTTAAGAAAACGCCTTTGCATAATTTCAATTTGAGAAATATGACTATTCAATGCTCCTCCCCAAACTACTATTCCGTAGCGGATATGACTTTCCACAAGCGAGTAGTATAAAGTTTTGAGATATTTTAGAGGTAGGAGTTCTTGAAGTTTCCTAAATTTGAATAGAATGGTTCTCAATTTATTGACGGTATATTTAATATGGAGGTCCCATTTCAAATTGGTGTCTAGAATTATTACTAGGTATTTTATTTTCTTTTCAGAAAGATGTGGAAATGAGTATCAGTTTTTATTGTTAATTGGTCGATCGGCAGTGCTCCAGCTGCATTACAACATAATGGTAGGTAATGCGTTTAGTCAATATTCACCGTCAGTAGTTTCTTATCTAACCAATATTTTATGTGGGAGAATTCTGATTCAACTTTTATTTTCAAGGAATTCCAGTTATCTGCTTTGTAAAAGATAGCGGTGTCATCTGCGAATACGACTATGTTTCCGTTGCCTAATGCAAAAATTCCGTTAATATATGTTGAATAGTATTGGTCCCAGCACGGAACCTTGAGGTACTCCACAGTCGATCACCTTATCACTGCTCAATATCTCATCGATTCTTACTGCTTGGTTCCTTCCTGTTGAATAACTTTCAAATAATTTCAATGAGTTACCCCGTATTCCGATATCTTTTAAAGACTGAAGAAGTAGATGGTGACTGACAGTGTCAAATGCTTTCGAAAGGTCGATGAAGATACACAGACTGGTTTTGCTTTCATTCAAGGTCTCAGTTACTTTTGAAGTCAGAGTGAGTATAGCATCTTGGGTTGACATTTTTTCTCTAAACCCGGATTGATTGTTGGAAATCAGATTGTATTTATCAAGGAAAGAGATGAGCCTTTTTTTGATAATCTTTTCAGAAATTTTCGAGAGATGAGTGACTAATGAGATAGGACGATGATTTGTGATAATAGATGTGTCCCCTTTCTTAAACAGTGGAGTAACAATTGTTTTTTTTAAATCACAGGGGTAAACACCTTCCTCCACACATCGGTTGAGAATGCGAGTAAGGGGATCTAGAATGTAATCTGATATTGATTTTATATTTTCTGCTTTCAAATCATCACAACCCACTGCCTCATTATTTTTAAGCTCGAAAATTGTTTTTTTAAGTTCCGTCGGGTCAATTGATTCAAACAGGAAATAATTTAAGCTCGATGTTCTTTTGATTTCGAAATTTGTGTTGTTCGGAATCTTGCCAGCAAGAACTCTACCCGTTTCTTGAATGTATTTGCAACTTTGAATGAGACAAAACAGAAATTAATTAATGAATGAATATTTTTTGAGAAAAATGAAGATTCACCTTATTTTTTGAACAGACAGCGTATATGAAACCTGTTCTCAACGATGGCGGTGACCGAAAATCTATTCAAAAAGTGTTAGCTCAAAGAATAAACGTCAC